TCAGCTTCCTTCCCTGAAAACAGAAAAGTCCCTTTGGATGATGATGAAGCAGTTGGAAATAGTCTTTACTGCATTTCTGGTACCTTAGAAATTCCGTTTTAAACTGTCTTCTTTCTAAAGGAATAGCAAACTAACTAGTGTAAAAGGTCCAGAGTTACAGGCAAAAAGCAATAATTAAGAGACACTACCTGAAGGAGACTCAAGCCATACCGTAACCTATGGCTTTTTTTTATTCCCCAACTCTTAAATTATTAATACAGACCTGAAAAGGACATCTTTTGGCGTGATGCTCAGAACCAACAGGAAAAGACTTCTGCTCCTCATGTGGTTTTTTCCCACCTTTAACTAAAATGTATCTTATTCTCTCTCCTAGGTTTCTGGTCCAGTTCAGACAAGACAAAGTGTGTGTGAAGTTCATACAAGGCAGCCAGAAAAATGGCAACATCCCAACTTGCAAGCGAAAAAACAATCGGCTTCTTGAAGTGGCTGTCCCTTAACTGCAGCTGGTGACTCTCCCTTTCACGGACTTGTTTCTTTGTAATAGTGCAATTTTAGTTGTTTGGTTTTGCTGGTTTTATCCCTTTCTGGAGCTGTTGATGGCTAATAGCTTTAGAAACCCTTGGCAAAACATTTGATCAATCGACTTTTTAATCTTTTTGTTCATGCCAGAGTTTTAACCCTCAAAATGCAGATTTTTACCCAGTGAGGCATTTTTACCAGCTGGCACGTATCTGTCATACACAAATCATTCTCTTTGTTTAGCGGTCATATTTTAGTGCAGCATACCGTAAACCCACATATTAATGATAAATTACTCATATTCCTTAGTCTAGAGATCCGCTTAACAGGAACTATACGTGGCCTTGATGCTTGATGGCCGCTTGTGCCCAGTGTCTTTTTATACCGACCTGTTCTGGTGTTCTGACAGGCTCCTTGCTTTGCCACCGCTGGGGAGACCGGCAGAACGGAGACCAACACACTAACTCCTATAGTTAACACTAGGACCTATGTAACTCGATCTTTTAGTCCATACAGCACAGGAACATCTAATTCTGCAAAACAGAAGGAATATATGATTATACAAGCAGCTATATGCATAATTTTAGAGTAAAAAATGCAGACATTTTGAAACAGGATTTTTAATTAGGTCAGATGTTTTTAATGACTTTATACAGTAGAAATCAGTAAAATTAAAAAAGCTTGTTTCTTTCACAAGAGCTATACAGTTCAAGGCATATTTCCTGTTCTGCTTTTTTTCTTTTAAATTATCAGTTAAGATTAGAGCCTGAAGAATGCAGTAGTATTCATAACACAAGTAAATGCTAGGTATTTAAGCAGTTAGTTATCAAGCAAAAGGTTTGAGCCATTCTTTTAGATGTTGGCATGTACAATGTGCAATAAAACATACATGACATTTTGTGAAAAATTATTTATAATACATTTTTGTGTGCAAGAGAGAGGATTGGTGCAGACTGCATAGACAATGTAGGGGTTAAAATAGATTTGTGTTGTTAATTTGCAGTTTTTTAGAGTGTACACTACAGTTGTCAATTTGGGAAGAATACTTAGAATTAAAAAATCCTTAATTTGGGGGTCTGTATATAAATTGGTATTACGGTAATAAAACTGTTCTAATTCTGTGCTCTTTGGTACTCCTATGTTATAACCATATTTTTGTACTCCAACTATTTTATATAACTTGTGTGCCTGATGCAAATTCGTGCACAGAAAATACAATCAAGAGCTGCATTATAAACCTTCAGTGTAACTGATTGCACTTAATCTTTTATAAGCCAGAAGCATTAGTTGAAATCCTTAAGAGGAGAGATGCATTTTTAGATAGAAGTAACTACTCAAGTGAAGGGTTTGTGCGATGTGTGTTTGATTTGTTGATGCAAGGACAGTTGAGAAAGCATTGTATTTTTGCAGTCTGATATAGGACAGATTAAGACCCTGGGTATCTGATGTGCAGTGCTGGAAGTCCAAGCATAAATAAAGGAAAGATAAAGAAAAGTTCAGAGTCTCGTTACTCTCCCGGTGGTAAAGTTACGTAGCGCTCCTGGCTGTGAAGGCTGCTCTGGGTAGTTCAACATTAACGTTGGCTCTCCGCGTTAAAATGGCATTTACTGCAATAGATGTTCTAGTGCTAATGGTTATTGGTCTGAAAAAACCAGCTGGTTTGGGTTATACCGCATTTTGCTTGGGGATTAAAGTAAATGATTTTGCTATGATTTGGATACAAAACAATTGTTTTAACTGGTTGCTTTAACGTTGTTGTTAAAAGTCCATGCACGTGACCTTGAAAGGTGGGAGTAATCAAGAGATGTATTTCCCAAACTATGACAAAAAGTTGCCTCTTCCTTATGATCTTAGTTTGAACCCTTCTTTTAATAATAGTCAGGTTAATAGTTTAATAAAATGTAAATAATTTTCCATGTATTGTAATTAGAGATGCTTACGAAGGAAATCTTAGTATCGATTTGTAATGCAAAATTAGGATACTTCAAAGGAATTATTCCATTGCCTTAAGACGACAGCACATAATAACATGGCGTTTAAAACTCCTAAATCCTGTATTAGAATTCCTGCTTGGTAAAGATTGGAGGGTTTGTAAAACTGTTCACTACCTTGAAAGCCTTACAGTAAGAACCACAAGGAGCAAATTTTTAAAATGAATACAAAAGTAAGGAAAACCAACATTTGAAGTCTGATGTAATCCTGTAGTTGCTTGCAGGTAGGAAATGGGAGAGTTTAGATTAAGTACGTCACGATATTTGGCCCATGAAATTAGGGTATTACAGGATAAGGTTAGGATATTTGACCTGTCCCAGCCAGACCCAGTACACATCCCTTTTATTTTTTTGATCTTTGCAGCAAGTCATGATAGCCATACCCGCAAAAGACTTGGAAGAGGGACAAATTCCTCACTTTGATTTCTATGGTTTCATTTCTTTTTCTGGACCTTTACGATTTTTACCTTGCATATTAGCTGGTACTTTGTGATAGTTACCATTTGACACGTAAATATTTCTCAATGTACAGAGCAAGTTTTGCTGAACGTGAATTATTTAGATATGCTAGGAGAGGCATGGTGTCTTGATGTTTAGATTTAAGTATCTAGGATGTTGAAAATAAAAATGCAAGGTCACCTAGGTTTTTTTTTTTTTTTTCTTTTCCTCTGTTTTCTTTTATAACCGTCTATCAAATGGAGTAAAGATAAGACTATTCTTCCTGTGGTGCTAACCTTACACATCCTTTTACTTGTGAATTTTAATTTGTCACCTGAAAGCTGGGCAAGGATCATTAAAAAAAAATGAGATTTGTTGCATGATACTTTCCAGAATCAAATAAAATTCTGTTCCTAGACCTATACTTTCTCTATATCTGTATCTTCCTTACTGCCTTCAAATCTAAAAAGAGCAGGTGACTGGGTTTTAGGTTAAATATACACAACACTGGTGTGTGACTTGGAGAGAGAAGAAATTTTTTATTTTGTATGTGATTCCTTAAGAGGCAGCATGTCTTCCCCAGTGATTCACATTAACCTTCTTCAGTGCAAGTCCTTTTCTCCACATAGTTTTCTCTGAAAATTCTGCAAACTCAGCTTTCCTAACATTAGGATTTGGACCAATTCCCTAAGAACAATATTAATAGCCAGATTAACCTGATTTTTAAAAAATGGCCTTGAGCCCCAAACCTATCGTATTCCACGTTTTGTCTTGTGATGTTTTTCTCTCTTTTTATCCTTAACAATTTTATCCTGATTTATGTATATTTTTGCTCATCATACAAGTTATGGAAGAAAGAAACTAAAATGTAAAATCAGAAAAAGCATCTTCAGTTTTAATCCAGGTTTGCTTTCATTGCCAAAATGACAGCCGCCTTCTAAACAGTTGTGGAAAAAAATTGAAGAATTAATTAAAAATTTGTATATGAAATGAGATCATTTTCCCCAGTCAGCGTAAAATTAACTGTTAATTCTTAAGCTTTTAGATCCTTAATCTTGACGAACAACATATTTTCCATATTCTATAGGAAATGGTCACGGTTATTTTGGAAGATTGCACTGTAGTGTGATGGCGATGGGCAGGAGGGAGATGCACACGTCTATGCTTCTTTGGACATTAGATCTTCCCAACAAACACGCGTTTCAGAGACAGAACTGGAAGTGTTTTATGGGGATGCTGCCAACTGATAGCAATGCAGACAAGCGTGAATTTTAAGTAATCTCTAGCGTCACTAACAGACGAGTTCTGGCTTTCCTCCTACCTAGCTTCCATCCTTATTGGAGTATTTTGTAGCTTAGACATATGACTCTGAGTGGGGGGGCAATTCTTTACCAATGTTTGTAAAACTCCTCAAAGTGATCAAAATTCTCTGGATACTGCTTTTAATCATATGGTTTCAAATAATTACATGTTATGTCACTGTCCCGTGACCTTCCAGTTAAATGTAACTAAAGGTTGTTGGCATGTAGCGTGATCTTGTAGCCTTTCCAGCACAGTATTTGCTAATTTGAACTACAGACCTGTCTGTCTGAAATTGTGTGACCTGTTAAGTAGTTCCAGGAGACTTAACTCCGGCAGTGGCATCCTCCCTCAAAGAGAACAGCATTTGCGTGTCAGTCCCAGTTACAGTGAGACTTTCCATTTTACGACTAACTGGAGTGTTTCCTCCTAGAGAGGTAGGTAAAGTGAGGGTTAGTGTATGGAAAAAAAGCTTCTTTGCCAGAGCTCGTTCGCAGAGCAGCACTTGCTTCTGCTGAAACATCATACACACGAGCGGTCGCTGCTTTAAGCACACACTATATATACACTGCACGGAAAAGCCACGTTCTTTCTTGCAGGATAACGCCGATAGCAGTACTCGCTCATTCAGCAGCACTGAATCTCTCCATTCTTCTACACTTGATGTGGAGCATATAGAGGATGGAGGATTGTGGTGAATTTACAGTTGCTGTTAATTCTTGTAAAAATGTATTTACATAAATTTGGGCAGATTTGTTTTGGCCAATCCCAAAAAATTAACTGGAATGCGAAGAGGAAAAAAGTGCTTCTATGAATTTGTAATTCATGTCTGGCTGTATTTGTCTACTGTAAGCTAGGGCTATTTAAAGGACTGGGGCTGTGAGAGGAATACCAAACTTAATCCCAATGGGTTATCAGCTAGAACCAGTTCTGCCCCTGTTCCCTTGCACGCATGAATGAGTTGGGTATTCAGGCTTTAACTTAAAATGAAAGTTAGGAAAGTTTGAGGGCATTGCAGTTCACTTTGATTATAATCAATTGATGAAATAGCGTCCTAAAGATTTTTAGAAACACATTCCTTCCCTCCTTCATCCTAAACTTTTAAGATGTTGACATCTGATTGTGAACTGGCTAGGCAAAATTTTGAAGTATGAAGCACAAAAGCCTTTTTCACAAATGAAAATTTGAAGAATGTGAATCTCTCCTCTTAATAACTCAACTGATTTCCAAGGCAGCACCCTGCACTTAACCCAAGGTAAGGATCTCTTTGCTGTATAACATTCCACTATTTATGGTCTTTAATTATTAGAGAAAAGAGGAAAACTAAATATTCCTCTGGCCAGGGAATCTTCTTCCCTGGAAACACGGCAAAGCACTGGGGATCTCAGGGAGTCCTCCTGTAGGAGTCCTTGCCCAGGCCCCCGGGACTTTACTGCCCAGTCTCACCTTCACCCTCTGAAACATCAAATGCCTTTTAGGCTGTTCTCTGAAAGTGGGAGACGATGCTTTTTGCCACAATGAATGGTGAGTTTTACTGGCCTGGCAATGTCCCTTCTGGACGTTACAAATCCTTTCCCCACCAGTATCGTGATGCTGGGTGGTCTCAGAGATGCTGCGTGCTGTTTCCACCCTGGCTCTCATCACGTTCTGATTTCCTCCTGCCCCCATTCCCTCCTGCCTCTGACATTCTCTGCAGTGATAAAGGGAGGCGTATGTCTCCAGGGTAAAGCAGCAATGTATTCTTTAAGGTTATTTTCTTCCATTATCTACCACTGCATCTTGGCACCTCGGTTTCAGCTGAACATACAGGAAATGTTTTATTTCCCTTCTAACCAAGAGCTGTTTTTAATGAAAGATGCTTTGCTCCCTTTTGAGTTAACTTGCTAGCTGTATCAGTATCACCAGTGTTTCCCAAAACTCCGACAAAAAGCAAAACTGAAGCCTGAAACATGAAAAGCTGCTGTTGCTATGCACTCTGTCTCTTCCTGTTAGGAGATAAATCAACTTGAAGTGATGTTGTGATGAAGTCCCTGCTGGCTTGATTCACTGCACGTAGCCTTCAAGGTTGCTGTACGTGCTTCTTGTAGCCTGAAAAAAGGAATCCCTCAGAATATGTGGTACCAAAAGGAGTGAACTCATTTATATTCACATGCAAACAAGCATTAAGTAGCTGCGAATACACTTGTGTGTGCTTTTACTTGCCTGTATGCTGCTATAGCTATGGAAAGGGACCTTGGCGTACGAAGGCTCCAGTTGGAGGTGTTCAAAGCAATGCTGTCTGATCAAAATCACCATAAGCTATTGATTAACATTTAATGTTTAATAATAAAGTCCAAAAGTTGTGGATGAGCTTGCAGTGGAAGATCCTAAATGTTGATTGCATCCCAAACTTCTTAACATCATATAGGGATTGTGGCCTTGTGATGGCAGGTTCCTGAGTTTTCATGAGCTGTTCTGGGGACAATGCAAAAAATAAAGAATAAAAAATTTCAGCTATTTCTGATAAAGAAAAAAGGCTTTTTTTTTTTTTTAAACCAACAGCAAACTCACTGCGACATAAAGTACGATTGTTTCCAGCTCACAGTCAGCCCGTTACTGGCACAGAGATGTTCCTCCTGACCGTCCTTTATTTGAACGCTATTATTTAGAAAGCGTTGCTGTATTGACTCACGTGATGCCCTGCACGCGCTTGGCTCCCAAGCACCGTGTGGTCCTGGGATGTGGGTTTTGTTCCTACCTGGGTGGTTTTCTCCCTTCTGTTGAGGT